GGTTGCAGCTGTCATTGTTGTTTTGGCAGGCCCGGGCTGGATTCAAACCCTCCACCTTAGGTGTATGTGGCTGGCGCCCTACCACTTGAGCCACAGGTGCCAAGCCCCTACTAGCAGAATTTAAGGGTAAAAACTGAAACTGACTTCACATAAAAGAGACATTAAGGCATTGTATCTGAGACTTGAAGTTAAACAGGGAGATAGGATACCCCCTACCACAAACTGTCTCTGTCTAGACTGAGAGAGAATCTCACTTTTCCCAGGGTAGGGAAAAGAATGAATGATAGAAGGAGTCAGGGGAACCTGGCCTGGGAAGAAAAGAGCAGTTCTAAGAAAAAGACTGTGTAATGGGGAAGGACTACCAGTTTTCTGCAGGAATATATGGTTTGTTTTGTGTCCAGGTCCTAAAGAGAGGCAAGTATGTGGTCTGAACACTCTCCCACCTGAATGTTGATCTGTTCTGCCTCTTGAGCCATCATTAGGGCTGCCCCCAGTTTCTGGCTGCAGTCTTTGTTCTTGTATTTTTTCTGAAATGGAAAAAAAAACTAGAGTCAATGACAAGTACTATCTTAAAGATTAGAGTTAATGATAAATATTAGAGAAGTGACACCAACATACTGCTATCCACCAGACATTATCATTACATTAACTACATTTATTTACAGTTCCTAGAATTGATATACTTTTTTTTTTTTTCTGAAACAGAGTCTCACTTTCTTATTCTTAGTAGAGTGCCATGGCATCATAGCTCATAGCAATCTCAAACTCTTGGGCTCAAGTGATTCTCTTGCCTCAGCCCCCAAGTAGCTGGAACTACAGACACCTGCCACAATGGCCAGCTATTTTTAGAGATGGGGTCTCACTCTTGCTCAGGCTGGTCTCTAACTCATGAGTTCAAGAGATCCACCCACCTCAGCCTCCCAGAGTTCTGGGATTACAGGCTTGAGCCACCGTGCCTGGCCTGATGTGATACTCATTAATCTTTTGGGCTCAGACATAACAGCCCACCTACCTAATAAACCTCTTGCATTCCTAGCAGTATTTTTAACCAATACTTTGGTGTCGTCTGAAAAGTGAATCCCAAAATATGAGATAAAGAGATGACTAAAGTTCAGGTGATTTCACTTTTAGGCTTCTAGCAAGTTTCTTTATCCATTGATTTAATACTCAATGCTTGATTTTCTAAGTCCCTGAGCTGCTGGGCCTGTGCTTATTTGTAAGGCTAGTCAAACCTAAAGTGACTATAGGAAGAAAATGATTTAGCTAGATAATCCAGTGATTATCAACAGAGAGAGATTTTGCCCCCTAGAAGACATCTGGCAATGTCTGAAAACAATGTTTTAGTTGTTACATCTGGAGGCAGGAAGCACAAGGTGGGAGTAAAGGCTGCTACTGGCTAGATACCAGTAAAGCCTGGAGATACTGCTTTTAAATATCCTACTATACACAGGACAGCCCTCTGTAACAAAAAATTATCTGGCCCACAATGTCAATAGTGCTGAGAATAAGAAATTCTGAGTTAATCTGTGCCCTCATTTCTGTCACAACTGCTTTGGCTAAACTATAGAAAACCTCAGCCTTCAGGAAGGTTCCCAATCTGTAGGAAAGGAAGGAGACTGAAAGAAAAAGCACTCTCTGCAGCAATCCTGCTAGAAAGAAGACTCTCTCTTGAGTAACCCTGCTCTTGGCACCCCTGGTTACACACGGAACTTTCTCCCAATACAACTCCCCCTGGGAGAAAATCAGATTTAATAAAAGGAAGACTTTGTTTTCCATTTCCAGTATCACAACAGACCCCTAAGTTTGCTCACCATTCCTGCTAGCTCCAGGGACAGCTCTTGAAAGTTCTTTAACATGTTGACTGGGATCCAAGCACGAGAAACTGTTTCTCCAAAAAATGTCACATGGTACTTAGACTGAAACAAAAGACGGTCCCATTATGGCCTCCTATACTTCTCCCTGCTTTTTTCCTCTAGCCAGAACCAGCTGGGGGAGAACAGGAATTCACCAAGGAGGTTCTGGGTTTCATATGCTCCCTGAAGCCTGACTTACCTACCCTACCTCATTCTAATTGTTCTTCCATTCTGACCTCAAAAATCCTAGCCAAAGCACATTTATCAAAACCACAAATGTCCTGACAGTGGATAAATAACTAGATACAAGTTTATTTCTACATGTGAGCACTTATCTCTGTGTTTGTCATCCTAGTTAGGTGTCTGTTTTCACTCATCTGCTGGCTATGTCTATGTTTCTAACTGTACATCTGTTAGGATAGATTTGTTCATTAATTTGGCCTGAGCTTCTACTTACTCTGAAACAGGAAACTCACCGGAAGGGAATCAAGATGAGAAGCAAAAAGAAAATATTCTCCCAGGTCAGGATCAGATTCTACCATGCCTGGCCACCTGAAGAAGACAGATTAAGGTAGGGGACAGACGAGAAGGTGTTAAATGAAAAGAACACAATTTCATCAATATAAATGTTCAGAAAGGGGTAGTATGTTCTGTGAACCAAGGATCCAAAAAATAGATCCCTCTCCCCTGCATTAGTCCCCTCCAGTGGTCACTACCAAATGACTGAAGTGACTTTCGTAAATGTATAAAGAAGCTCAGAATATTCCGTGTAAAGGTATCTCATCCTTCTGGGCCTTCCTGAAACACTAAGAACAAAATATTCTTACTAGGGACATCTCCAAAAAGAAACTATCTTACCATTCTTTGTTCTCTTTACTTCATGTGTCTCTTACATCTCAATATTTTAAAATGCCTTTGATCCACCCTCCTCTTGCTACCACTCAGGGAAGCATTGTCAGAGGAGATACATATACTCAGAACCCTCCAGAAAACATGCTCTTTCAAAGCCCCCAAGTTTGGTACTTTATCTTCTCCCTTACCCCATGCTTTTTCTAAGTAAAGTAACATTTGCATTATAAATGTTTACCATGTCCTTCCCTCTATGCTTGAATCTACCACTCCCAATATCATGAAGGATGTTCTAACTATGTCATGGTGTCCTACCAGGGGTAACCATATTGCTTAGCCCAGATGATGGATCCCGGGACATAGGAGGCATAGGCCACATCACTCTCACATCCTGTCCAGGTCTCCTCAGGAATATCACAACGATTAAACTCCAAGTCTGCCAAAAGAGAGAAGGAATGAAGGGACAAGAAGAGACCCATAGGTGAAGAATCTGGACATGGGCTGGGGAGAGGACAAGAAAGAACTGGTATATGTAGCAGATGGGACCAAAAGGATACCTGGGTGATGGAAGAGGAAGAGGAGGAGGAAGAGGAGGAAGAGGAGGAAGAAGAAAGACCCATGGAAAAAATGGAGCTGGAGTAGAAGCAGGAGTGCTGGCTCCTGATATTTTATAGAAAGAGATTCCAAACTCTTGCTTACACAGTATCTGAAACATCCTAAGGGTAATTTTTCTGAGACTCTGTTTTCTCTGTAAAATAATTGGACTGACCTAGATAGTCATAATCTCTTCCAAGTAGTTTCAAACATTCTAGAATTCTAAGCTCACTGGATCTCTTACCTGCTTACCCCCAGATATCCCATATGCCTCCCTACTCACCAACCTAGTAACAATATTCTAATCAGGATTGACAGGAGCAGACAACTGCTAAAGAAAATGGAATTTACTTAGTATACACATTTGGATTCCAGATCTCTTTCCAAGACACAACTCTGCAGGGTGTCTTCCTCCAGTCCAGCCCTTTATGCAATTTATCTCCATATGACTAGATCTTTCCTCCTTTCCAAGCATTACACAGACTGCTTGAGTGGTAACCATGCTCTATTTGTTACAGGGTAGAGCAGTGGTTCTCAACCTTCCCAATGCTGCAATGTATTCTCATTGTTAAAAAGGGGTGGTGACTCACAGGTTGAGAATCGCTGGGCTGGAGTATAGTGACATCATCATAGCTCACTGCAACCTCAAACTCCTAAGCTCAAATGATCCTTCTGCTTTAGCCTCTCAAGTAGCTGGGTCTACAAGAACCTGCCACCATGCTCAGCTCATTTTGCTTTTTTTCTTTTGAGACAGAGTATCATTCTGTTGCCCAGGCTAGAGAGCCATGGAATCTGCCTAGCTCACAGCAACCTCAAACTCCTGAGTTCAAGCAATCCTCCTACCTCAGCCTCCTGAGTAGCTGGAATCACAGCTGGTTGGCACAACTCCCAGCTAATTTTTCATTTTTAGTGAGATAGGGTCTCGCTCTTACTCAGGCTGGTCTCAAACTCTTGATCTCGAACAATCCACCCACCTCAGCCTCCCAGAATGCTTGGATTACACACATGAGCCACCATGCCCCATCTTGTGCTAACTAATTATATGTTGTATTTAAACTAAAGGTAAGTACAGGGAAAGGAAGGGATAAAAAATAAAACCTGAAAATAACATTTCCACTTCTTTCTACCTGTATTCTGGTCACAGGACCAATTTTCTGGGAGAACTGAGGGGTCAATATTCCCATGCAGCCGCCTCCATTTCTCACAGTTTGGGGAAGAACACTGGACCCAAATCAGACATTGACCTGTGAGAGAAAAAAAAAATGAAATAAGAGACTCAAAAATAAGCTCTTCTTTATTCAATCCAACTCAAATTAAGCTCTTCCTTATTCAATCCAACTAAAATCAATATTCCTTTCCAACCCCCCAAATCACATAGTGGTAGAGATCTTAGAGATCAACTAGCTCAATCCCAGACTTATAAATGAGAAAACCAAGGCTCAAAGCAGGCAATTGACTTGCTGGAGATCAGTCTAACTAGGTAACAGAGCTGAACTTAGAACTCAAGTCTTACATCTCTCCCCACCCCAAGTCAGAAAGTATTTCCCATATTAATAGGTCTTAAAGTTTGCCTTGCATCTTTACAGATACTACCTCATTTTCTGCTGGCATGATATTACTGAGAAGTTTTTTTGAAGGGCTTCTCAGCATTTTTTTTGTGCACACCATCCAGAGTTTTTATCCAAATCTCAACTGACTTACCTGTCACCAAGCTGCAACCTTTAGGACCAACAGCCCTGAAATAATTCTCCTCCAAAATATACAGGTATAAATCTGTCATTTCTCCCTGATGGACTCATGACCTCCAGATCCACAGGAATACCTCACAAAGTACACTGTTCTCTCAGTTCCTTGGTCTTTTCCTCCATGACACCTCAGTAACCCACTCACATATGCCCCACCCAGTCAGCTGCAGGACTTACACATTTATCCAAACATCCTCTCTCACAAAAATGCCCCATCCTTCCACCTCACCTGCATAAAGACTCATATAACAACTTTCATATAATATAGCTCTGCAATCCACTGACCTCTACTGTTCTTTCCTTCTGGTAGCAACTTCCATTCTTCAATTTGCACCACTCAGGTTTGATTCCTTGATACTTCCTTAGATTCTCTTAGATGCAGACATCTTCAACTCCCTTTCCCCACTGTCCTTCCTCCTAGCCATATGGCAAAATATTGTCTACCCACTGTCTACCTTTTCCATGTCTATACTCATAATCGAGAGTTGCTAGGGAAAAATCATATAACAGGGGCATAGGTATCACTATATATTCACATGTTTGTCTAGTAAGTTCAGTCTCTCACTGTCAAATTTTATCTTAAATACTCAAACATGAGGGCTGGCCCCCCAAATCCATCATGCTGAAACCATCCCTCAGAAATAAGTTGACTTACATTTGTGTCCTTTCAAAGTATCATCACATATAATGGGTCACTTTCTCAATTGCTTTATCTTGAAGAACAAAATACTCATTGAGAATGACATATCAGTCTGAAATGACAGCTGCCAAGGATAGCTGTGGATGTTTGCAATATTTACAGAGGTGACCCAGAAAAACTAGAAAAAAAAAGAGTAGGAAGAGAAGCCAGGGACCATAAAAGTGGTTGGCTGTGAAAATAATGATCAGGCATTAGAAAATTAGTACAAAAAAATCACTCTAAAGATATGGAACTGGGCTCAGCGCCTGTGGCTCAAGCGGCTAAGGCGCCAGTCACATACACCTAAGGTGGCGGGTTCGAATCCAGCCCGGACCCGCCAAACAACAATAATGGCTGCAACCAAAAAATAGCCAGGCGTTGTGGAGGGTGCCTGTGGTCCCAGCTACTTGGGAGGCTGAGGCAGGAGACTCGCTTGAGCCCAGGAGTTGGAGGTTGCTGTGAGCAGAAGCCATAGCACTCTACCCAGGGGGACAGCTTGAGGCTCTGTCTCCAAAAAAAAAAAAAGATATGGAACTGGATATTCATGGCTTGAGATGAAATTTCTAGTAACAGCATTGTACTTTTTAAAGTTTTCTTTCAAACGAATTAGAGGAGAAGATAATGTGCTCTGGAAAACTGTATTTGATGTTCACAATGTAGCTCTATGATAGTGAAGACTGGTGTCACAGACACAGCTTAAGAGCATTTTCATTGACCACACATTCTTGAAACAGCAACTTCCCAGGTTCTATGACACCTCATTCTCCTGACCTTCCCTTGATCTTTCTGACAGCTCCTTCCTCAGTCTCTTTGCTGGGATCTCTTCATTCTTCATCTACTCTCTAATCTTAATCCCTTTGGTTGAGATTCCAAACCCCAATCATGGGCTTCTCTCCCCATGATATACTTTTTCCTGGGGTAAGCTTGTCCATTCCCATATCTTCGAAATCCATTTTCATACCTGACAGCACATAGTTGTATACAGCTGCCTCTATTCTGACCTCCAGATGCCTATAGCTACCTTGTTCTTTGACATCTTTATTTGGATATCTCACAAGGATCTCATACCACAGGTACCCACACTTGAATGCTTGATCTTATCCCACAAATTTGTTCTTCCTTCATTTTTTCCCACCTCCTTTCACAAAACTGCTCAAGCATCTTTGACATAACTTCTTCTCTCTCACCTTCCGATATCTAGTTCATTGCCAAGTTCTGACAATTTTACCTATAAAACATACCACTTAAAACTGTCCACTTTTCTTTTCCTCTACTTTTATCATCCTAATCCAAGGTACTAATCCTAACTTCTTAATTGGTCTACTCTTGTTTTTTCCCCATACTCCATTGTCCAATTATCACTAAAATATATATTCAAAACATTAATTTAAAATGTTAATCCCCTGGTTAAAATGCACCAATGGCTTCTCACTGCGCTTTGGATAGAATTCTAACTCTGTAGCATGGTCTTTGCTCTGGCCATCCAGAGTCCCTTTCCCACCTTGCCTCACCTGCTCTCCGAACTGCAATCACACTGGCTTTCTATTAGTACCTGGAATATGGAAAACTTTACCCTACCTACTTCACTTCTATAACTTCTATTCTCCCTTCACATTTCAGCTTAAATAGTGTTTCCTTAAAAATGTATCCCCTGACTGGCCTAATCTCACTTAAGTCTCCATTATTTCCTCTCATAACACTCTGCTCTTTCCTTTCACTTAGAACAGAGAACTCGAGTCTTACATCTCTCCCCACCCCAAGTCAGAAAGGAGTATTTGCCATATTGATAGTTCTTAAATAAAGTTTGCCTTGCATCTTTACAGATAGTACCTCATTTTCTGTGCCTCAATTTCTAACAAAAATTGTATTTATTAGATACTCCTCTTTCTTATATCCTGTTCTAGGAAGACTCCTACTCCTTGGTAACTATGAGAAAAAGGAAGAAGGGTTCATAGATAATATAGGAGGCTCATAAATCCATTCTAATCACCATTCAACTCACAAGCATCACCTAGGGAGTAAACCTCCACTAAACTCTTTTCTAGAGTTTTCTTCTAACCAGCCTAAAATCCATCCTTGTAGTAATAATACTAAGAGGCATAGGAGATGCAGCAATACAAATCTAAATGGCACCAAATTATCTGGGCTAACTGGAGATCAGGTTAGTGAGGTCTCCCTATCCCAAAAATTCTCAATGGGAACATCTGAGTTTATATATTCACATAAAACAAATAAAATCTTTTAATTCTCTTTTTGACTCTACCTAAAAACTCCCTTGGAAGTACTCCAGACAGCCCAATTGTCCAAAGCAGACTTACTCTTACAGCTCTTTATAATCGTGTCATTATGACAAGAGGAATGGTTTACTGACCGGGATTACCTTGTCTGGTACCTGTACGGTCTTTCTAGAGCTTTTTTTTTTTTTTAATTTCAGATTAATGTGAGGGTACAACCAGGTCACAAATATTTGAATTTGTTAGGTAGAGTCCCTCTTGTAGTTGTATCCCAGACACAAAAGGTATGCCATATACCCCTACATTGCACCCATTAAATGGGAGCACCCTAAACCTCTCCTCCAACATTCTTCCTCCTCCCTCATTCCCCCTGCCCCCCAACTTGAATTGAATTGGGTTTTTCTCCTATGTGGATGTGAATTAGATCATCTACTGGTTTCATATTAGTATTGAGTACACTGGATACTTGTTTTTCTATTCTTATGATACTTTATTAAGAAAAATGCATTTCAACTGCATCCAGGTTAATACAAAAGATGTAAAGTCACCATCATTTTTATGGCTGAATATTATGTCTTTCTAGAGTTTTCTTCTAATATACGCAAATCATATTATGCTTCTACAACCAAAACTACAAACATACACACATACATATTAGATAACAGCTGACTCTTATACTTTTGGTTCTGGTTTTGTTATGTTATTTTTTGTTTTTTCATAAAAGTCTCTTCCCCTCAGATTGTTGTCTAATTTTAAAATTTTTGAACATACTAATATATTGTATGAACTATTTTATTTTTGTGTAAAATTTCCCATCATCACCTTGGTTATGTCATATGGTGTATTTCTTTTAATATTTTTTGTTTTCTTGTTTTAGAGACAGGATCTCATTATGTTGAGCAGGCTGGTCTTGAACTTCTGACACCAAGCAATCTTCCACCTCAGCCTTCTTTACTAGGTGGGATCATAGGCACAACTCAACTGTCTAACATAGTAAAAATATAAATTCTGTCAACTAATTTCTAGCACATAGTGCAATGCCTGGCACATAATATAAAGTACTAATAACTGTTGTAAAAGAATAAATGAATACAGCTCAGCGCCTATAGCACAGTGGTTACAGCACCAGCCACATACACTGAAGTTGGCAGGTTGAAACCCAGCCTGGGCCAGCTAAACAATGAGAATTGCAACAAAAAATAGCCGGGTATTGTGGCAGGCACCTGTAGTCCCAGCTACTTGGGAGGCTGAGGCTAGAGAATCTCTTAAGCCCAAGAGGTGGAGGTTGCTGTGAGCTGTGATGCCACAGCACTCTACCAAGGGTGACATAGTGAGACTCAGTCTCAAAAAA